GGGTAGCTGTAGACACCCAATCTATCCGGGGTCTACTTTTTTTATTAATTAAAAAAATAAATAAATAAAAATGAAAAAACGAAAAAAAATGATGGATGAATTGGTGTAAATTTGGGCTAAGGAGTTTGAGGCAGATTGGAAGAGATTGAATAGGACTAAAGTCCCAAGAAAATTGGGATTTTTATTCGGCTTTGGAGTCTGTAGTTTAAAACGCTATAAATAGACCCACCAATCACATAGAAAAAACACACAAAACAGAAGTAAACATAAGCCAAAAAAGGTGTTTCAAATAGTAGAAGCAATTTAGAAATTTTAGGAATTTTTTTGGAATTTTTGGTGAATGTTTTTTTAGAAATTCCAAATTTTGATGGGTTTTTCGGTGAGGTTCATATTTTTCGATGGCTTTTTTCCAGTTTTTGGTGAATATTCAATTGGATTCTAGACGGGTAGAGAGAGAATGAGAGGAAAAAATGAGAGGAAAGAGAGAGGGAAGGAAGCAATCTAGGAAAAAACAAAAATTGGAGCCTTTTATACTGATAAAAAATGACATCATTTTGGGTGTTTTAGTTAGGATCTGTGCGTTTTCATCTAGTAACCCGACCGCATCGCTACTCGATCAAGTGACCCGTGTCCCAACCAGACCCTATAGCCAAGCCAAGCCGAACTGAGTTGCTTTCCTGAGCCGTGTTTCTAAGCCACTGTTTGTCTCTTGAGCTGAGCTGATCCAAGCCGCTCCTGCCGAGCCGTTTCTATTTTTTTGGTATTTTTTTATTATTTATTTATTTTTAGTTTTTTATGATTATTTATATATATTAAAAATAAAAAAGGTAGAAAAATAAATATTTTGGGAATAAATATTAATTATCCAATTATAGAATTTATAGAAATTTCAAATGATAAATTTCTATTAAATTCTTAGGTGAGAAATTTTATCTAAATTTATCCTAAATGGTGGAATAATTTAGATAAAGTTTCAATAACAATAATTAATATTTATTTTTCAACAAAATAAATAAATAAAAATATAAAAATTTTTTGGAATTAAATACAAATTACCCAAAGATGAGATTCTTAAAATTTCAAATGGTAAATTCCTAAGAAATCTCTATGTAAGAAATTTTCTCTAAATTTGGCCCAAATAGTGAAATAATTTAGATGAAATTTCAATACAAATAATTGTATTCTTTTCAAAATAAAATTTGGTTGAAAATATGTGATAATTATCCAAGGATGAGATTCTTAGGAATTTCAAATGGTAAATTCCTAATAAGTCTCTAGGTGAGAAATTTTCTTTAAATTTGGCCCAAATTGTGGAATAATTTAGATGAAATTTCAATAAAAATAATTGTCATATTATTTCTTTCCAAAAATAATAATAATAATAATAATAATAATAATAATAATTCTAAATAGGCCTAAATGGTGAAAATTTTAGAAATTCAAAAAAAGAAAATATTTCTAATTTGGCTCAAATGGTAGAATAATTAGATATATTTTTGATAAAATAATAATAATTAAACATTTTTTTGATGACAAAGCCTTTTCAAGATATCAAATGGGATTCTTGAATACTCTTGAGGTGAGAAAATATTTCTAAGAATTCAATCAGATTTATGGAAGAATCTTAAGAATTATTTTCAATATTTAAACATTAAAAAATTTGAAACCATTAGAACCAAGACTTTAGGATAAATTTAAAATAGTATGGTACCATTCTTTGGATGGGCATGTGGGGGTGCTATAACCTTCTCCACATGTAACCGAATTCTCGAACCCTGTCCTGGTTAATAGACCCAAACCTATTCTTTTAGGAACCCTTCGTCAAGCTTAAGCACTCTTTAAAAGGATAGATTCTTTAGGTGACCAATCACACCTAGCAAAAAAGATTGGTGATGACTCTATTCATTTATTAAATCTAGCTATAGATTTACAGATCTATATGTTATGACAGTGATAATTCAATTTTTAAATTTGTGATCTTAGATGAGTTGAAATCCTTATCGATTTTCTTTTATAAATAAGTTAAGTATTCAACAAAACAGGCAACAAGTAGAAAACAATCAAGCAAAAGAGTAATAAAAATTTTTCATTTTGACAATGAGGTTTGGAGAAATTTAGTGTTTTGGAATTTTTTATTTGTGAGAAATTAGTGTTATTGGAGGATTCAATAAGCTTAAAAGGTCCAAATTAGTGTTTCTAACGTTTTTGAAAATTTTTGAAGATTCTAAAAAAAAGTTTGAGTTTTTTTATAAACTTGAAGTTTTTGACGAAGATTCTGGCAAATTTTGCAATTTTCAATGACTTTTCCAACAATTTGAATTTTTCAATGACCATTTAAATTTTTTGGCATTAATTTTCAGATCATGATTAGACTTGCCATCATCAGTGTTGAAATTTCAGAGAGAAGATAAAGAAAACTGAGGAAGAGAGAGAAATGATAAAGCAAAAATTGAAGAAAAGGTTTTGTTTGAACTATTTATACCATTGCCAAACGATGTTATTTTGCCTTTAAAAATTTTGCAAGATCCGCACATTGACCTGTTTTCAACCTGACCTATTCCATAAGTTTTTCCCTTTTTTTTTTCTTTTTTCATTGTATTTGTTTATTTTATTTATCTCTTGTTTTTATATTTTTTATTTATTTAATATATTTTGTATGATTACATTTTTAGGAAAATTATTATTATGAGAGGTAATTCTAAATTAAAAATAAATAAATAAAGGTTAAAAAAGCTTTAATAAAATTATGAAAATAAATTATAATTATTTGAAGATGAAATTCTTAAAAATTACAAATAAATAATTTTTTAGGAAATTTTTAGGTGAGATTTTTCTAAATTAGATCCAAATGGATGAAAATTTAGATAAAATTTCAACAATAGCTAGTATTTTTTTTCAAAGTAAATAATAATAATAATAATAATAATAATAAACTTTATAAAATTTAGGGAATGATAGTAATTATTGAATGATGAGATTTTTAAAAATTGCAAATGGTCTATTCTCTAAAAATTTGGTAAAGAATTTCTTTAAATTTAGTCTCGAATGGTGGAATAATTTAGATGAAATTTTAATAAGAGTAATTTTATTCATTTTCAAATCAAATACTAAAATATAACTTATAAGTTTGTTTGAAAATATATAGCAATTATCCAAGAATAAAATCCCAATAAAATCATAAATGGGTGATTTTCAAGTAAAAATATTTTCTAAAATTTAACTCAAATGGTAGAAGAATTTAAATAAAAAATAATTGGCAATTTTATTTTCAATCAAAAAATTAGGAAATAAATAAGAAAATTCTTTAAAATCGTATATTCTAAATATGATTCAAACGGTGAAGAATTTAGATATATTTTCAATACAATAAAAAAATTAAAAAAGCTTACCAAAATAAAGAATAAATTTCGAGGATAAATTTTTTAATAATTGCAAACAAATGATTTTTTAAAAAAATTTTTAAGTGAAAAAATATTTCTAAATTTGGTTCAAATTGGGGGAAGTTTTAGTTATGTTTTCAATAAAGTAAAATTAAACAAAAATATACAAATGATTAATTTTTTTGACGACAAAATCTCTTCAAGAAAACAAATAGAATTTTTGAATACTTTTGAGGTGAGAAAATATTTTTAAAAATTCTGCTAGATTAATAGAGAAATCTTAAAAATTATTTTCAATATTTAAACATTAAACTTTAATAGAAAACCATTAAAACTAAAGATTTTTAGAATAATTTAAAATTAAGTGGTACCGTCTTTTAAACAAGTGTGTGAGGGTGTTATAATTTTTTTCATACCTAATCAAACTCCTAGACTTAGTTTTGAAATATAAATAAAAACTTATTTTTTTAGAAACCCTTAATCAAGCTTAAGACTTTCTTAAAGGAATAGATTCACTTAGGTAACCAATCATACTTATATTGAAAAAAGATTTGTGATGATTTCTCTTATTATATCTAACGATAGGTTTAGAGACTTATATGTATGATAAACCATAATCTAACATCAATGCTAATGAATCCCACCTATTTTAAAAACATAAAACTCAAAATCATTTGCTATCCTTTGTTCAAGAAACTATCTTGTTATTGATTCACACTTTTCCTCATTGCCTTAGTTGCAAAAAATAAAATACTTATAGTCTATATTATAACATGCTTTTATCATTTTTTTAATAATTTTCAACAATTACATGTTCTACCATATAACTTTATCAAAAGTGTATAGTGAATTTGTTTTTATATTTTTACAAATTTTTTAGTATATGGAAAGATGTTTATTAAAAAGAACTATAATCATTTTATTTTTTAAATAAATTAATTAAAAAATATTTAAAATATTTAACTAAATATATAAATAGTTTATAATAAAAAATCTTATAAAATATTAAGTAAATAAGTTATTTTTATATTTTCATGTCTATTATACGTTATTCACGTGTTATCAAAAAATAATATATTAAAATATATTATTAGCTAATTTAAAATTCTTCTAACCAAATACAAAAATCTTATATTTATTAAAGTTAACAAATCATAGAAATCACTCGTTCCCTTTCAATATAACTTTTTCTTTTGAAATCTAATTAGAAGCCACGAATCAAATATCCTTTTATTATTTTTCCCTCGATGGCTAATTTTGAAAAATGAAAATTCAAACCCAATTTTTTCATATGAAAACTATATAATTATCATTGAATCAATTGTTCGGAATGTAAGATTAATACATTATTATATAAATATTTATCATAAGGAGGTTGACAAAATTTAGAGATCAAGGGCAGTTTGTTTTAAGCTAGAATGAAGCATATGGCAAAAAAGGAGAGAATTAATTTTATTATGATCTTTGAAAACATCTGTCACGTATATAACAGCTTTAGATATATGGCCTAATATATTTATGGGACATCAAATAGTTAGGTTCGTCAATTTGTTTCAAGGAGAGACACAGCCCTTATCCATAGAGAGTTGACATTTACATGGGTTCATCAATCATCAATTTTCACGTGAAAATACCCGTCCTTGCTGGGTCGTAGAGCAAGATGGTTCTTCTATTAAGTGGTTGAGTTGGCCTTGAATTGTTCCTGTATTGCTGAAGAAAAAAAAAAAAGAGAAGAAATAGACAAGGCAGATTCAATTTCAATTCAAGGAAAACATTTTAATTTCTTGTAAAACATGTGTACGATATGTGCGGCATTTGCTTAAGTTTCCAAGGCAATTAGATTGCTTCTTGGATATGCTTTCATGTATTCTCTAAGTGATTTTCCCAAACAAAATTGATTGTACACTGTTCATTGCTTCTTGGATTACTCCAAAATTCTAAAAATGTCTTAAGGAAAAGACATAAGACATCGGAAACTTAACCAGATTTGAAGCTTTGCTTGGTATTGTGCACAAAAAAGTGGAGAAATGAAACATTAAAAGAAAATAAAAATGAAAAGATGTAAAACATTTTTCTTTGTTGGTGTGGTGTGTGCTTGGTTGGAAAGATAAAAGAGTTGAAAAAATATATATTTTTGTTTTATTCATTGCTTGATAGAGTTAAAAAATAAAAGGAAACAAATTAAAATTATACCTTATTATCATTACAACTTTCTATAAATTAAGATGGAAAAGAAAATTTTAAATAGGATGGATAATTTTGAAAATATGATGGATAATTTTGAAAATATGCAACACATTACATCTCTCTTTTTCTCCCTCCTTTTTTCTTTTTTTTAATTTGTACTGATTTGTTTTTGTTAATAAATGTCAAAAATAATAATTTTTTCAATTTTCTTTCTTCTCATTTTTTTCCTACTAAACACCCCTAAAATTAATTTTCTATCCAGCTTTTCACCATCTTCCATCCATCTTTCTCTTTTTCACTTTACCGAACACAACCTAAATCTCCTAATATTCTGAATTTTATACAAACTTTATGTTGATTTATTTGTTGATTTTTCTACTAGACGCACGTTATTAATGGTTATTACATTATAATTATAAGTATTGCTATTATAAAAATTCAAAAAATTTAATTGATTCATATAATTATTTTTAAAAAATAACATCTAATATATTTAAATTTTAAATTTTAACTTTTGTAATCTCTTTTCGATCCTCATACTACAGCTTCTATGTAAGAAAGAAATTGCTAATACACATAATGTCATTTTCATATGAGAAAATTTCGAATTCATGATGGGTTGCTAAGTAATTTAGGATTTAGAAAGACTTACTGGAGGAAGGGCATTCCTTATTGCTGCAACTTGAAGCCAGGAGGCCATCTTGTTCTTTAATTATAATTATGATCATAAGAATACGTTAGTGAGAATCCAATGAGTGAACGGTGGGCAAAAATAAGCAAATAGGATGCAAATTGTTGAGAAAAAGACCTGTTGGAAGACTGTCCAAACCACGCCCTCTGAGCATGAAGGAGTTGTAAGTGAACCCATGTATCGATAATACCTTCTGCCAGGAATTCCAATGCTTACTGGGTTAACACGCCCTAGTTGTCTCTCTCCGAGTCCAAGAGTTATTATGGACCCAAACAGCTGCTTTCAAAACATAGCAAGGGCATAAAAAAAATTAATTAAAACAATAATAAGAAAAATCAAACCCAATAAAACTATATAATATTGAGATTATCGATTAACACAAGAAATTCTATACCGTAAAGAATAACACTGAATAACCCAGGAACAAAATGTTGCCATACCCTAAGAAGGAAGGGATCAGGTAGGCCATATCGGTAAAGAATTGCAACAACCGCAATCCGATTTTGAGCGCTACGATGAACTATGTGAAGCTCCAAGGGCAACCTGTAAACAAAATATATGAAAAATGTTGCTTTGGACTTTGACAAAATAGAAAAGGAAAGAAAGTGATTTCAGTATAAATCAATTGATTTTTTCAACGGCAAAGGCAATTAGAAAATAACAAGAATAGCAAGCAATTGAAATTTAGAAAAAATTATATATATATATATATATATTTATGAGATCAGAATAATTGAAGATATGTATACCTGGTTCCATTGAAAGTGTGCTCTGAGGGTGAATGCCAATGACAGTTAACCACTCTATACACAATCCCATTTATGGTAATGCTTCCAGCATTCCCTAACCATATTACCTGAGTAATAACAAACAATCAATTACTAGGGGGTCAGTTTGATGTTGTCCAAACTTTGAATCGGTTTATTTATCTTACAACTTATAATTTCAGCATGTGCTTAATTAAATACAATAAAATAAATAATTTGATACATTGTCAATTGAGTTATTTGATTTTATAAGCGAAATTGAAAAATTAACACATTTATTTTTTGATATATCTTAAAAAATATGTGACATCTTATAATTTTGTTTGTAAAGTTCAAAAATTTTATTGTCATTGTAAAATAATTTATTTGGTCAATTATCAAAATACTTACTAATATATATATATATATATATATATATATATATATAAAATATTACCGCAACATCTTCCGTCCTATTCCTCAAAACAGCAGGAGCGGATGCGTAGTTCCTTTGCAAATCTCCCAATTGAGAACGAACATGGACTGTTCCAATATTGATAGGAGATTGCTCTTGTCCAACGCTGCAATTTCTCCATTCTGGTTTGAGTGAGCCCCAACGCGACGGCCCCCTGCCTGTTCCTTCGTCGTAATTAAATTCATGCTCTGTCCCACCCCAAACCCCGAAGCAAGAGATATTCAATAATTCTGATGATTTCATGGATTCTAAATATATAAAATCCTAATATATGTTGCTAAAAGCTGCTATTTTTGTAGCTTATCTTAAACTTGGAACAAAAAATAAAAATATATATATTTCAGCTTCATAAAATCTCCAAATTTTCAAAGTCCAAAATTTTTAAAATCTTTGAATGATCAAGGCCTATTTAGTTATTGTCAACAAATTAAACTGTAAGAGAAATGAAATATATATATATATATATATATATATATAATTCAATGAAAACATCATGTAATCAAGGATAAAATTCAAATCCTCCTTCCATCTCAATTTGTCCAAACCCCAAAAAAAATCAAATATCAAATATATTAAATATTTTGAATAACAAAAAATATATATATAAAGAAATTTTTAAAAAAATATATGTTTTTTATGCAAAAAAAAAAAAGTTTTCAACATTCTAGTATTCTACATCATATGGTGAATTGAGAGAGTATAATACAAGTTAAATTTAAAATTTTATTCAATTGATTCATATAATTATTTAAAAAAATAATAATAAATTTGAATTCGAATTTCAAAATCTGCAATTCTATATCATATGGTGAATTGAAAAGGTATAATACATGTTAAATTTAAAATTCAATTTAATTTATTCATATAATTATTTTTAAAAGATAATAACAAATTTAAAATTCGAATTTCAACACTTGCATTCTCTATTCTCAAATTACGATTTTTTATGTACTAAAAAAAATTTGCCTGCACTTCTTAACAAAGTTAAGTTTTAATAATTGAACCCCGTCTGCTTAAATATCTTCATATGCACGAAAAAATAAAAAGAAACCTGAATGAGTTTTCTTAAGTTAAGGTGATATTGATAAAGTGAAAATTTTAGTATTAACAAATTGTGCTAAGCTTAAATTATTGAAAATTTTAAGCACTAAACTTATACTATGAAAATAATTTAGTATGCTTCTAAAAATTAAAGATTAATATATGATTAAAGATTTTACATCTAATAAGAATTAAAAATGAAAAAGAATTTGATTGAATGTTACAAAGGTAGGGTTTAATTAATGAGAAATTATTTATTACAATGTAGTTAAATTTTTTAATTTCACAAACAAAGTTAGAATTAACACATTTAAATAGTCTTTAGATTGTGTAACAAAAAGAAATATTTGATTGAAAATATTCCATTAATTAAGTAGTCTCTAGATTGTGCAACATGATTTGACCTAAAATGTGATAGCCACCCTTTACCTAAACTTTTATATGCCAAAAAAGTATTTATTTTAATAACTTTAAATTTTGATGATTCTTGCATCTAAAAAATAATTTAAATAATGATCTCAATTTGAGATATAATGGTAATAGTGCTTAAACTTTTTATTCTATTTTTATTTACTTCATACACTTCATATAAGATCAGAAGAGAAATCTTATATATCCTATATAAATATATAAAAATTAAAACCTCTAATAAAAAGGAAATAATTTGATATGGATGGTCTATATTTCTAACATATAGATAATCTAAAAATTTTACATATAGTCAAAATTAATTAAGCTTTTCAAATTTAAAATTTAGAATTTAATAATAAAATAAATTTAATTTCAAATATCTTATTTCCATTATTATAAAACACATTCAATTATTCTTATTAATACATAAAGAAAGAATCTTATTTATTTTTAATGACTAATTGACTAAAATAAATTAAGAACCAAATCAAAAGTAATAATATTTAAATTGAGGGTAATTTATACTTGACAATTAAAATATATTCAATGTGCTTGGGAGAAATGAAAAGAGTGATTTTGAAACTAATATAATAATGATAATAAAATTAATTTGATTTGATATACTAAAATTAATTTTAGTTGATTGATCATTTATTAATCATTTTAAAATCAATGTATTAAATATATATATATATATATATATATATATATACATATGTATAGCTTAAAAGGATGAGCCAATAGGTTATGTTTAAAAAAAAACTGAAAATTATTTTTTTAATAAATATAATTAAAGAATTGAATATTTATAATTGAAAAAAAAAAGACATAAAATTATTTTATTTATTAATAATGGCAATCAAAGTGTTAATACCTTTCATATGAAATTAATGAGAGGGATTTATGGTAAATAATAAAAAAATGTAATCAATTTAGTTTTTAGAATTATTGTTTAAATTAAAAATGTATCAAATAAAATAAATATATTTATTAGAGAAAACATAACATTTTTTAAGACTGTCCACATATAAAAAATCTAGACCATTAGCATTTTTAAAAAATATGAAAATTTTTTAAAAAAATTTAAAAATTGTTTACATTTTCCAAAAAATTAAATAATTCTAAATTCTAAAAACTTTTAAAAAAATTCTTGAAATAAAAAATTAAAAAAAAACTTAAAAATTTAACAACAATCCAAAAATTCAAACATTTTTTGGGAAAATTACAAAAAAAAAATTAAAATTGTAAGATTCAAAAAAAATGAAAAATTTTGAGAATTTTTTAAAAAAAATTTGCAGTTTTTTTAAAATGTTATATTTTTCAAAAAAAAAATTATATTTTTTTATTTTAAATATTTTTAAGTTTTTGTGATTTTTTTTTAATTTTAAGAAAAATTTATTTTTATTAAAATCTTCAATTTTTTAATTTTTGAAAAATTTTGGATTTTTTTTTAATTTTGAGATTTTTTGAACATTTTTAAGTTTCCTTAATTTTTTTAGAAATTTTTAAAATTTTTAGAATTTTAATGAACTTTTTAAGTTAATATATAATATTTAAAGTTAAACTTAGGAACTTTCAAATTCCAACAACCTCCTATTATTGTATTTGTTTAATGAACTTTTATATGTATCACAAAAATTATATATTAATAGCTTTATTTTAAATAGAAATTCATTTGATTTCATGTGTTGAAAAAACCTAAAAATTTAGAGGCAATTGAATATACATCTAGCAAAGTATTTGACTAGCTTCTTCGCATCCTTGAAGGTTATTTTATTTCTTGTTTGTATGGGCTATCTTTAGAGACCAGACACATGTACAGCTAATGTTTTGCTGCAACCTAATTTAATTGGTGTTCTTGGAGGATGTGCGTTTGCTGAATAAAAAAAAAAAAAAAACAAGATAAAGTAAACAATTTTCTGCTTTGCTGATTGCCATGTATGCTTGTATTCAATGATATCAATGTGTGATCTTTGTTTTTGAGAGATGAAAATTTTAAATTTTACTACGTCTATAGCATAATCTCCAAATATATGTCATTAGTACAGGATATATATAATATTAATTAGTTATTTTGTCTTCCAAATACCGAAGTATTCCCATAACAAAAAAAAAAAATTAAAAGAGAATCAATTTCTCTCATGCATGTAGTAATTAATCAAAGAACAAATTAACCTTTCAAAAAAAGTATGAAAGTAAAAAAAAAAATGAAAGACAAGATGACAAGGAAAGGAAAGAAAAACAACAAACAACATGCTTCCAAGTCAGTTAAAAATATGATAAAAATGATGATGTTGCAGCATAATAATGTTATTTAAAACATAAGAAATAAAAGAAAGAATATGTATATACCCACAGACTGAGATTGAGAGCAAGAGGAGAGAATGAGAGAAGAAAAAAGGAAAAACCCAAAGGCAAAGAAGTTTCTATTGCTGCACTTCATGGCTTGGTTTCTTTCATCTGTCTCTACTCTCATCCATCAAATTGCTGCCTCAATTCCATCGGCTTAGCAATCACCTAGCAGTATTAATAATAGGGCAGGTGCAGCTGCAAGTGTATGTACGGACGAGTGTTCGGCCTGATCCCCTTTGTATTAGTCCAAATAATCTTCTTTTGGTTACAAACTATGCTTTTTGACTTGAAGCCTTAAATACATCTTCTTTTACATTAATAATAACAATAATGAGAACAAATTGAATTGGAGACTAACAAAAGAAAATTGTAAGTAGAGAATCATTATTTTTAATCCATTATTATTTTCTACTAAACTTTGTAAACTAATTAACTATAATTTGGGTGGAGCAACAATCTCCTAAGAATCTAATCAAGTGGAATTTATTGATGTAATTTTTATTTTATTAGGTAAATAATTTCATCTTAGTGTATTTATTTTATTAGGTAAGTAATAATGATAATTTATATAAAGATGTAATTAAAGTCGATAATTAAGTTGGTCTAACTCTTATTAAAGCAATAGTTTGGCACCAATGAATGGTTAATGTAGTGATACTGGAATCAACTTCTGAATTCTAACTTCAATTGTAATCCAAAAAATAATAATAATTTAGCGATAAATAAAAGTAATAATTTGGCAACGACTTAAAGTCGAATTAAATTATCAAATTTCGCCATGAAAACTTAATTACTAGTCAAAACTTTATGTGGACTAGGATTAATTAATGAATGGATAATTTTATCAGAAAATGGATCTTATTATGTAGACAAACCACGAATTTTGTTTTTCTAGTTTCTATTTTTTTTTTAACCAATTTTCATTTTTAGCATTTTTAGAATTTCGTAAGCCTTCTCTTTTCCCTTCCTATTTTTCTATATTATCCAATTTTCCATAAAAATGGCAATTTTAGTTTTTCAATTCCACATATATAGTGGGTGGAAGAAATGTTGGAAAATTTATTTTGGACAAACGTAATATAATTGATCTAATTTGTCTTATTTTAATTTAACACTATGTTTAGATAAACATTATTAAAAAAAAAAAAAAGAAAGTAAAGTAAAGTAAAGTAAAAGAAGAGAAAAAGAAAGAATATATGTACCATTTGTTTTGATAGGTAAAATTAATAAAGGAAAAAAAAGTAAAGAAATCCTAACAACCATTGTTTGGTTAAATAATATAAAGGGAAGGAAATGATTTATTATATTATTTTTTTCGATTATAATCTTTGATAATTTTTATTTTTAATATAACATTTACATGTTTTATGTTAATGTATTCCATGTTTTCAATTTTCCTTTATTTCTTCATAAAAATAGTCATTAAGGAAATTTATGGAATTCATAAAAATAAGAGAAAAAATTGGAGATAATAAATTTATCCGTAAATGATGTTTTGTATTTTCAATCTAATTTTGGAGTTCAAAATCATACACTTTTAATTTAGATAAATTAATGAGGATATAATAGTTATTTTATATTTTAAAAACTTTATTCTTTCCCTTTCCCTTCCTTTTCCCCAAATTTGGGATAATTAAAAAATGAAGAAAGTTGAGGGGAATCAAGGGAAACTAAGCATACATTATTTTCCTTTATTTTTATTTATACCATATACAAACAAGGGAAAGGATTCCCCATTTCTTTTTGTTTCCTTTCCATTCTTTTCCTTTCTTTCTCTTTACCTCAATCCAAACATGCTATAAAACTAAGAATGTCATTGGGTAGGGTATGAGACGGGTATAATATTTTTCATTCTTATCCATAGAATTTTATATTATATACATCTCCACACTTATACTAAATAAATATTTTAAATCATCCTCATCTCTGCGAGTATTTAATAGATTTGAGTAATCCTTACATCCATAGTTTTTTTAATAAATGAAAACTAATTTTTAATTTTTTGCTTTTTTTTATAGTTATTTTTCACATTTATGTAATTCTTTTATAAATATATATTAATATATTTTTTTACCAAAAAATATTTTTTTTAAATAGAAATATACTAGTTCTAATTAATTCAAAATAAAAATTTATATTATTTAATAAAAAATTTATTTACTAAATATATATAAATATATATAAAGTACAAGTATGAATAGATACAATATTATCTATCTACGTATTCAATAAAAAATTTAAAATTATATTAATCTCTATTCCTAAACTTTAATACCCATCTTATCCCTGTTCTCAAAATTTAATATCCATCTCAATCTCTATTCAGATAAAAAAATTGAGTTCTCCTTCAAATATAGGTAAGATTGACATACCTATTTAAAAGAAACAATTTAAAATAATTAATTTTAGGAGAACCATATGCGGGCCAAGTTAAATTATAAGGTAATTACTTTAATTACTATCCATTTTAAGTTGTCTTGATTTAAAGAATGCATAGTTGATCTTTTATCATGCAAATGGAGAAATTTTAATAAAAATAATCTTAATGTTCAGTGACAAATATTGTATAGACATTAGCAATATAATCAATTCAGCCTTATGTACTGCCCCACAAAAAAAAAAAAAAATCAGCCGTAGCCTATCGCAGCAAATCCAATCCTTAAAAGGGTTAAGGTCTAAAGGTTCAAATTATCTATTTCCTTGAAGTTTCATGCATATATAAAATAAAAAAACAAACAAACAAGTTAATCAACTTGCCCATAAATATAAACAAAAGTCAACTAATAAATGCACCTGACGAGAGAAAATACAACATAAAGTTAGAGAAGATATATAAACTTGAGATCTAATTGTTGGTTTATTAAAGAAAATAAAAAATAAAGTAACTTTTGATTTAAATTAGATAGTTGGCTTTAATTTTAGAAAAATATAATTTTTGTCTTTTCTTTTTTTTTAAATCAATTTCACATTATAGAATTGGCAGGTGAACGCACATATAATTACCTAGGGGACTATGATTGTTTTTAAACCATAAGTATATTCATGATTTATTTTGGGGGGGCAACCGAGCTAAAAAATATTCATTGGGAAAATAAAAACAAAATGATCAACATACTCTGAGAAGGAAAGCAAGGTTAAATAAAATAAAATTACAAAATAAGATAGAAATGGCAAATAGAGGAAGATAGGAGGGTATATTAACTTTTCATAGCCACTAAAAATTCAAGCCCACATGATTGAGAACTTAAATTTATGGTACCATATCGGTTTAAAATAATGTATTAATTTTTAATAATTTGGTATGTTTTGACTTTTTTTAATTGATAGTCGCGTTAATCATACAAGTGGCAATTGATGGGTTCAGACAGAATTGAACCCATCAATTGCCACGTGTATGAATATAGTATTAATAAAAAAAATAGTAATAATCTCTAGAATTGAAAATTTTATTATATGCATCATTCCCACCATAATTGTGCCCATCAAAATATTAGATGAAACTTACACTTTTTATAAATTAAAATTTTTTTATTATAATTAAATCATGTCAAGGTTTGGTCGTAACTCCAACAAATCGAGCTCATGAAATCAAAACTTGATATGGTACTTGGTACAATGATTGTTTTCCATTTGGAACTCTTTCAAAAATTTTATTATTAGTGTAAAAAAAAAAATCATTTCCATTATTGGTCACGCTATTCCTTAGTCTAGATTGGAAAGAAATTTCTCACTTAAACCATTGCGGTGAATTCTAAGTATGATAGGTTACCTTTCCACTACGGCAGCATACATGCCTAATGTTTGGTAAGTACTTTAATCTACATTCACTCTTTATCTTTTGACCCTTCTAATGCATGACTTTCTTTTATTTGATATTAGAAAATAATTCATGATATTTATTCAAGTTTAGATTGACTTAGTGTCTGATTTAAATACCAATCAGATCCTTGTTTATAGCCTATTAAAACATTCTATGCAAGCTATAAAGCATCACAGAGTTCTGCAGCAGGATATGATAAATTGATTTCACAAGAATAACAGTATATTTCAGATATAAAATGCCCTGATCCGCCACTTGTTGCAATCAATAATTGGTGAAACTCTTTATGCATTCGGGATAATGGTCCAACCACAAAATTACTGAACTAACCACTCTTTCCATCTCTGAGCATCGCTATATAGCATTCACCATTATTCCCACGAGAATATCTAATTGAAGTTAATTGTATCACTCGTTATTCTTTTTAGCCTATCTTCGTTACCTAGTCCAAGTGCGCATGAATGCAACTATATCCTGCACATAGTTATCCTGTTGCACTTGCATACAAGTATGAAAGGAATACGCAGATGCAAGTAATCTAATGAGAACTTATGGATGGTTTTGTCTTACAAGAGTCACCTAACAAATTTAAGTTTAGATCTTTATATATATATATCATAATGGATCTTCAGAATATCCCGATATTAGATTTGGCTGTTACAGAAATATAGCTAGGTATATCGAATGCAGAACTAAATCTTCGGTGCAGAGAGATACACCTAGTTCCATTGGATATGTGCTGTGAGGGTGAATGCGAATGATACTGTTGCAGTTTATGTTCAGTCCCACATCTATATTAATTTTTCTGGCTTCCCCTTTCCACCTTACCTGACAGGGTATTGAGACCAGACAATAGAATTGATCAAGAAAAAATGACAGCCGATAGTGCATGATTTTCTATAAAAAAAATTCTAGCAGAATGAGAAAACACGATGCCAGCTGTAAATGGGATTTTGTTTAGGAAGAAGTTGCACCTTTTCACTGAGAAGATCTATAGGAGACTGCAATGTGGGTTGATATTGCCCCATTCCATTGCCCTCTTATCAGTGTAAGTAAATGGAATTTCATTCTCTGCCGGCCACCCCCCCCCCCCCCTCCCCCCAACAAAATCAAAAGTGAGACACTGTTTGTATTGACAACATGGTTCAAAGACAGGTGAATGATTTTCCTTTGCTGAACCTTGCACATGAAGTTAAACATTGCAGTGATGAGAAAAAGAAAATTTCCATATTGCATAGTGAAAAAAAAAAAAAAAAGCGCATGATTCTTCTCTCTTTCATTTCTTTTTTTGGCTAATTTATGTTAATGGTTGTAACCGAAACACTTGGACAGATTCAATAACATGAGATGA